CTCCCTACCTATTTTGTCGTCTTGGTTTTTAAATTATTTTTTAAAGAAAAAACTTTAAAGTGGTTCTATTAAGATAACACAAAGGTTATATTCTACGTCATAAGTATTGACTACGTGTTATGAAAGGATTGCCCTAGTTATTTATATATTAAACAAAACGGATTGTGTTATAGAGCTAGACGCAATCCATCAATTGACCACAGACATGTCTTAAGAACCATTACAACCAAACTGATCTACGATAGCAGGCATTAAATCAGAACAACATTATGGAGAACGACACTCACATGATCAAAATACATTGGTTGAGAATTTATGAAAGAGCGAGTTACAAGTGCAGGTTACAATCATAAATTTAAACAATTCTTAATACACATAATTGGCTGGACGAAAAGCTAAATCGATAATCAATTTAGCCGACTATAAAGACCAGAATGACACCACTGAGTTGTGGAAGCTGTTGTTCAACAGGTTGTCAGTTCAGCGATAACCTTCATCGAGTTATGAAGTCACCGTGTCTTTTGGTGGCTCTTGCTTTTGCCAGTTTCATGACTTCTCATTGCTTGTATGAACAAGAGGGTGACGATGATCGGCAACGCGAGCCTTCGGGCCCAGATCTCCAAAAGCTAGCCAAAGCCATAACATTTTTCTCTATGGACCTGCACACAGTTCTGAGTGAGAAAAATGAGAGCTTTTTGTTCTCGCCAATCAGTATACACCTGGCTTTGTCAATGGCGATTGTTGGAGCGAAAGGCACAACATCTAAAGAAATGAAGATAACTTTAGAGGTGAGTTTATATTGTTACAATTTCGTTGGCCAGTTTCTATTGTGATAGTTTGGGTGGGCAGTTTCTATTGTAATAGTTTTTGGGGCCGAGTGGTCTATACCGAGTCAATCCAAAAAGCAATCTGTCAGGAGTGATAACACTAGACAAGCAAAAACATCATCAGCATCCCGGGTGGACGGAACAAGTTAAACTTGGATGGCAACTAATCTGTGAAAAGGCAAACCCTGATTACAAACCTGGAGGTGTAGTCCCGTACGTGGATAACATTGACACAATGAATATTCCGGCAACTTCTGTGACTCCAGTGATGCCCGGCTGTTTCATTAAAATAATGAATGCTCCCTTGGGTTGATATTCAGGTGCGTGCAAGGAGGCGATGTGCTGTCTAAGGAACACGCTTACCTCTTCAAGAAAAGTCCATGGCCTTGTGATTTCGTCCGTCCTTCGAAGCATAACAACCTTTCAAACTTATTTTTGGGTTTGGGTGATGATTCCTCTCTTGGTCCATACATTCTTAATCGTTTCCGTAAAAAAATGTAGCCCGGAGCTTTTAACTAATAATAAATGAGTGTTGACTAAACAAACAAATATCTATATTCATATACAAAACAAGGGAATGAAAATATATTTTCATCAAATCGAAAACTGAAAAACGTAGACCTTTTACCGCATAAACAAATACGTCACGAAAATAATGTATATAACAAAAGCTACACAATTAATCTCCACACCAAAACATGTAACGGTAGAAAAAAAATCATATTTCATTCATCCTCCCCTTGAAAAACAGTACATGACAGATTTTTTGGAGTTTTTGCGGCTCAAAGTTAGATTAAATGTGGTGTCATCGGCAACGAATCTGTGTGACCAGTTTCAGGTCGATAGGATGACGGAAAGTGGGTTAACTATGCGTTCGAAGATTATGCCTTAAATGCTAAAACACGCGAACAAAAGCGACGTTCATGTAAAAGATTTAAAAGTAGGCTTTACCTTAAACCTGAATAATTTATTTCCTTTCAATTCACATTATCGTTACCCCCACCCCCCCCCCACCAAAAAAAAAAAAAAATTACGTTGACTATGTGACGGTGGCGACATATCCCTCGAAAGCTTAATAAGCTCAATGTTTTTTTTTTTCTTCTCTAAAATAATGAACAAAATATTTCTAAGAGGTCGTGGCCCAAAATGAGAGGAATAACTCTACTTTGATCAAAACTACCACCAGAGAGTTAGGGTGGATACAAAACAAATATCAACCGCGCATAAACTGATATAAGGATTCTATTATAAAGGGACTATCTTCCCCCGGTATATTCTCAATTTATATGACAAAATAGTATACTCTGTGTTATTAAATTAAGAGTTGGTTTATTTATGTATTAATTTACTTTTTAATTTTCTTACATCAATAATGGGTAAAATTGAACAAATTTTCTCTGATAGTAAATTTAAAAAAAAAATTGTTTATGTACAATTGTCTCATTTTAATTTTATTATATTTTGATATAAGCTTTTGATGGCTTGATAAATCCCATGAAGCTAATAGGATAACCACAGCTGAGACACGCAGGCTAGCCCGAAAGAGCAACATTAGGTCACCGTCTGCAGCAACTATCCCATTCCAGCGGTGCCAGAGATTATTCCGAGCACGGATCGGTCTAGCAAACCACCTACGAGCTCACCCACCCTTCCCCCTAACCGGATGACTCGATGGTCCTAGTCGACTTCGACGGATGAACAACAACAGCATGCACAAGACAAAAGGTTTTACGTTCGATTACTGTGTTCGCCGAAGCAGAGCATTCCCCCGTGACATCTACATTGGCCAATTTCAGTGAAATAGTGGAACAAAATATGTTCATAGTTTGAAATAAAAAGACAGCTTAAGTGCCAGACGCGCATAGAGAGATCATGATAAGGAGAAATACCTGGCTAAGAAAGAACTCCGTGAAACGAGAAACAGGTAACAAAACATTCTGGATCATTCTCGAGCACTTTTTTGTGTGTTGTTTTTGTTTTGTTTTATAGGTTAAGAAAATCAAAAACCTTGAGGAGCAGTACAAAGTATGACTTGATACGACAACGGACAACTGCCATCTCGGCAAGGACTGCGAGATGCAACTCAACAAAACGTATATGATCAGTTCGGGAGTAAAAGTGGAGAACAAATTTGCGGTGGGTTGACTACTAAATTATTATTTTTAATTTTTTATGTTTTTTAAGTCAAGAATTCAAGACAAATCTGCTTAAAAAGTTAATAATGGAAGGGATAGGTATTTATTGTTTGTTTAATTGCAAGGGGCAAAATTTAGAGAAACTGGTAAAATGAAGAACTTGTCTAACAAAGAACTCATAAAATTTAAAATTAAATCAAACTAAGAACTGTCCCACTACAATACTGGTCGAAGGGAGTATTGATCTAACTTAGGAATTGTCCAAAAGGAGATCTCATCACGTCATGATCTGCTCAATCTAAAAAATATGATCTTATCACGCCATGATCTGCTGAAGCCAAAATATAAGCGACGTCAAAATTATTACATAACAAGAAAAGAAGTCTTTGATTACACGTGACTCACAAATGAAATCTGTAAAACGAACAGGTCAAATCTAGAATAAATCAATATAACTTTTTTTCAAAGAATTTTTGAAATGCAGTTTTATTCAACAGGCTGTCGGCAAGCTACAGCCAAACTTCCTGCCGGCGGCCCGTACAATTAAAAAAAATAACGGCCAAAATCACCTTAGAAAAAATCTGACAGAAAGGGTATTTCGCGGTATCTAGTCATTCTTTTTAAATCCACATAATTCCTGTTTCTGTTGCTATCTTAATGATCGCATCGCTTATGAATTTAATGCAGTTTTTTTCTTTTTTTTTTGCGCGACTATAGACTAAATTTTTTAAGAAGAGAAACTTGAGATATTCGCACAGCTGACAGCCGAACTAAAACTCAGTATGATGATAATTAATTACTTATATAGCACTTGTTTTCGTGATAGTTTAGCATGCTCACGGCTAAAACATCCTAAAATGTCACAGCTAGGTGTCCAATAATCTATTTAAATGAAAAAGGCTTTTTCTTTTTTTCAATTTCCTTCAAAGAACTGGCAAACTGTTTGAAAAGCTTTAAAAGAGCTCACTCCGTATGATTTCTTTCTGTGTTCATTCGCACTGGGAAATCTCAGTAAGGAATGTATTGAATATTGAATAGCAAAGGTTCTGTATGGAGACATGTTTAGAAATTAGTTTTTTTAAGATACACATTTTCAGAGCCTTCTATAAATTATACGCCAGGGACATAATTTTGTGGCCAATGCGCTCACTCACAGGAAGTCAATGGAGATCTTTAAGACTTGTATGATGTGGTCAGATTTCTGTATACGCGATACAATGCGTGCTGCAGTATTTTGTGCCTTCAGGAGTCTCTGAATTCAGTTTTGAGGTAAACCCCACAGACAACTGTTACACTATCTGATCTTGATTTGATTAGAGTGACAACTAGGGGCATTGGCTGTCCTCTTATTAAGTTTGGGATGCAGTGGACCCAGAGCGCGAAGATGACAGAAACACGCTCTGGATACAGAAGTGATATGAGGGATCACCGTAAGATTGCTGTCAGTGTAGAATCCAATGTCTCTCAACGTGTTGGATAAGAGGTTCTCAGAACTGTGTGAAATGTGCCAAAAATTAAATTTTTTGGAATCTTAAAGTTGATCAGTATTATGATACTTATTTAGCAATGACAGTGACTATTACTAAGCTATGACGGTGAAACTTACTTTATCTATGAAAGGGACAATAACTTAGCTACGAAAGTGACTTTCACTTAGTTTCTATAGTGACTATTATTAGCTATGGGATTCACTTGGTCAGAAAACCCATTTGGAATAGAACAAACCATTGTGTCACTGCATGGCGTTTCTTGAGCAATATAAAAAGGCGAAAGAAATTCATTCTAAAAAATGTTTTTTTTTTTAAATTTTGGAAAACAGTTGTCTATAGTTTCATTCTCTTAGTTGTTGAATGGTGAAACTAATTTTTTGTAACATAATAATATAGAAACAAAAATTATATGAATATTAATGAAAGAATTTCTTAAACAGAAGACTATCAATTTGGTCTACACTCCTTCCGTGGTAGATCTGGAAACTAAAACCGGGTGGACCTATATTTCCTTCTTTCCAAGTCGAACTCAATGGTCACTCAAGGAACCTATCCAAGCCATGATCGTTAACTTTCTTAACCTAAGACTCCGATGGAGACAGAAATTCATTTACAACAAAGGCAATTATATGGACTTTATCACGTCGACTTTCAAGAAAATCAAGACAACGTCTATGAGAACGAGTGGACATTTCGGATATGCATTATCTCATGAGTTGAATGGCCACGTGCTGAAGATTCCCTTTGAAAACGAGCGCTTCAGCTTCTACGTCATAGTTCCCACCACCGCCGACGGCTTAGCTAAACTGGAGGGTAAGCTCGCTAGACATAGCTTACATCTGGATCAAGTGTTAGATTCGGTGGTGGCTCGGGACGTTGTAGTCGAGCTGCCGTTGTTAAGCGTCGTAGGCGGTGTCGAGCTGGAGGAACCACTGCAAAAACTGGGAATAAAAGCCGCCTTTTCCGATGATGCCGACTTCACAGAGGCCACGCCCCTGAAATGTAACATCGGCCAGGCGGTACATACACCTCTGATAGATCTCGGTTTATCCTATGTGACTATCGGAACTAATAGATTTCATAATCAACCTGAAGAGGCTGACAAGGTCACTTCAACCCCGAAAACCACACTCTCAGAAAATGTCGATGGTAATGACAAAAATAATGCCTATGATAATGTCACCGATGATGTCAAAGATGATGTCAAAGGTGATGTTGGTGATGATAAAAGCCCAAAGGACAGACGCTCGGCAAATGTCGAACACGATGCAACCCTGAAGACCAGGCGCTCGGAAAATGTCACAGGCAATAACACCCCGAAGAACCAAGGCTTAGAAAAGATCATAGGCGATAAAGCTGAAAAACTAGTCAAAGTCAAGGCAAGCCATCCTTTCTTGTTCTTCGTCAGAGATGATCTCTATGGTGTCCTCATCATACAAGGTCGGATGTTGGAACCATTGAACAAAACTAAATCGCCATAGAGCACTTGCGATACAAAGTCAAATATGAAGCCCTTCATATGAAGGATGACGATACGTCGTAAACATCCATAGAACCTCATTCAAGAAACGATACTTTATCGAATACTACAGCAACAAATTCTACTCAATCACTTTTTAAAAAAAATGCTAAGTCAAGAAATAAATACTATTCAAAATAATATAGCGAATTATTATTGACTCGCAACAAAAGTAAAATAAATTATAAATTAATTTAAGCAAATAAACATTAAAAATCATAATAAGTACTTTTCTTAAATAATGTCTTTTTTATTTTCTTTAATTAACTATTTTGAATTTTTTGTTGTTGTTGTTTTTGTTAAAATTAGTATTTAATTTTTTTAAAATATTGATGATATCGTAAATATTCTTCATATTATTGTTAATATTTCGTAAATTGTCCCCAAATTTTCCCAATATACATAAACATGTTCCTTTCAAATAAGAAAATATTCACCAGACATTAGCAAAAAGAATCGAGAAATATTTATGCATATATCAAACTCAAATACAATTACCGGTTATGGGTAAACGTTTGACACTTCATAAAATTAGAACCACATCAGAAAACAAGTCAACCATTAGAAAACTATTCCAACACTAGAAAACTTTTCTCCCATTAGAAAACTATTCCACCATTAGAGAACTGTTACCACACCAGGCATCCTAATTAAACACATTTTTTAAAGGTCATGCATAATAACATAGGTGGGTTTAAAATATGGTATGTTATGAAACACCATGAGAGAGGTGCGTTCAAAATATGGTATTTTTTGGAAACACAGTGACAGAGGTGTGTTAAAAATATGGTATGTTATGAAACACAGTTACAGAGATGCGTTTAAAATATGGTATGTTATGACACACAATAAAAGAGATTGTTTAAAATATCGTATGTTATGAAACACAATGATATATATATATGTTTAAAATATGGTATATTATGAAACACAGTGACAGATATGTTTTTAAAATATGGTGTGCTATGAAACACAATAACAGAGATGTGTTTAAAATATGGTATGTTACGAAACACAATGTGAGGGTGCGTTTAAAATATGGTATGTTTTGAAACACAATGACAGAGGTGTGTTTAAAATAGGGTATGTTATGAAACAATATGACAGAGGTGCGTTAAAATATAGTATGTAATAAAACACAGTGACAGAAGTGTGTTTAAAATATGGTATGTTATTAAACACAATGACAGAGGTGTGTTTAAAATACGGTATGTATGAAAAACATTGAAAGGGGTGACAAAGATTAAAAAGTTATGACAGAACACAATAGACGTTACTAAGACTTGAAGGAACAGTGCATGACCGGAGTGAACCAACATAATTTCACGCAACTTGGCTGGGAGCCGCATTATTCAGATCATTGTGAAAAATGAAATAAGTATTTTCTAAATTGTATTTATATTACTCGTGAGAACCCAGCATGCGTTGCCAGGCCACTCGAAAAAAAGTGTTTGTGTTTTAATTACGCCTTTAAAGTAGTTTTTAAATAGAAAATATATATACGCTTTTAAAGTAGTTTTTAAAATGGAAAATATCTATATATATTTTTTCCCCGTCTTGTGCGTACACAAATAAATTAGAAGGTTTTGCACCGCTTGAGAATGCCACATAAAGCTGTCCAAGTGAGAATGTAACATAAAGCTGTCCAAGCGAGCATGCCACATAAAGCTGTCCAAGTGAGCATGCCACATAAAGCTGTCCAAGCGAGAATGCCACATAAAGCTGTCCAAGCGAGAATGCCACAAAAAGCTGCCAAAGCGAGAATGCCACATAAAGCTGTCCATGCGAGAATGCCACATAAAGCTGTCCAAGCGAGCATGCAACATAAAGCTGTCCAAGTGAGAATGCCACATAAAGCTGTCCAAGCGAGAATGCCACATAAAGCTGTCCAAGTGAGAATGCCACATAAAGCTGTCCAAGCGAGCATGCCACATAAAGCTGTCCAAGCGAGAATGCCACATAAAGCTGTCCAAGCGAGCATGCCACATAAAGCTGTCCAAGTGAGCATGCCACATAAAGCTGTCCAAGCGAGAATGTCACATCAAGCTGTCCATGCGAGAATGCCACATAAAGCTGTCCAAGCGAGCATGCCACATAAAGCTGTCCAAGTGAGCATGCCACATAAAGCTGTCCAAGCGAGAATGTCACAAAAGCTGTCCAAGCGAGAATGCCACATAAAGCTGTCCAAGTGAGAATACCACATAAAGCTGTCCATGTGAGCATGCCACATAAAGCTGTCCAAGCGAGAATGCCACATAAAGCTGTCCAAGCGAGAATGCCACATAAAGCTGTCCAAGTGAGCATGCCACATAAAGCAGTCCAAGCGAGAAGCATGGATTATTAAAATTTATTCCACACACTTGTAGCGATTGATCAACCCATTTAGCAGCTCTGTTTGATATTATATTTATAGAGCTCACATAAAAAAAAACAATTAAAAATAAGGCTCTCGGCCCCAAACGCCAAATTGTAAAATGGTTCTGCTCATTCAGAAACATGATTTATTATGTCCCACAATTTGAAATGCTACTTGGATTTGTTGAAAATCCATCCATGTTTTATTAAACTCCATCCAGCCATGCAATAGCTCAGTTTGAAATTATATGTGTGTAGCTTAAATAAGAAAAAAACAAACAAATTGCGTGCTTGGGCAAAAAGATTTGCCAAAATTTCGTCGCAATCGGGTGAAAGGTATAGGACAGCATACAGAAATTATATTTAGCTCATGACTTTATGACAGAAAAAAGGGATTTAGGGCTTTGGGCCCAAAACGTAATATTAAAAAAAGAGTGTAATAATTCGTCAAAATTTAAAGGCGTAGGCACAACCACTAACAAAAGTTTCATCGCAATCGGATGAATGGTATAGGGGCTCTTACGGGACATATATTCATAAAGTAACTTCTTATATTAATATAGTTAATCGAATAAAAGATACCTTTAGCGCAACTATTCAAGGAAGCGTTCTGTTATCATCCATCTAGATATCCAACCTTCAAATCCACCCGTCCATCCATCCGTCCATCCATCCGTCCATCCATCCATCCATCCATCCATCCGTCAATCCATCCATCCATCCATCCATCCACCCACCCACCACCCACCCACCCATCCATCCATCTATCTATCTATCTATCTATCTATCTATCTATCTATCTATCTATCTATCTATCTATCTATCTATCTATCTATCTATCTATCTATCTATCTATCTATCTATCTATCTATCTATCTATCTATCTATC